CGTCGTCACAGTGACACACATACACATACACATCCACACACCTACACACCTACACACCTGCACACCCAGAGCTGATCGTGGCGTCGTGTGGATCACATGACGCGGCTGAACCACACTTGGATCGGCAGGCAACTCGTCAATCCGCGGATCCACAAAGATAGGCTTTGTCATGACAACAGTTGCTGCGAGTAATGCCGCTGCTGCGGCCGCCGCGGCTGCTGCCGCGGCAATGTCCAGTCTGAAGTACCTGTGGCCGACTGGTGGTACCGGTTGGCCGGGCAAAACGGGACAGACGCCGCCGGGGACTAGTGCCGCCCCGCATGGGCCGGCCGGTGTCGGCTTGGCCTTGACGACCGCCTGGGCTCCGATGCCTCGGGCTCCGAGTGAGGCAAGACACGAGCTCCAAGTCCCGCCGAGCCCGAGCAAATGCTGCCTTTCAGACGTTCTGCCGATTGTAGCCTTCACCTCGACCATACCCTCGTCTGCAAGTGACGCATCTTCACCCGCCTCCTCCTCCTCCTCCTCATCTTCCTCTTCCTCTTCGTCGGCGCTCAGAGACGAGACCGTCCTGCTCGGTTCCTCAAGAAAAGTCCATCTGTCCTCGGCTCGGACGAAGCAGATTTCAGCTTCTCACCTCAAATTGGTCTCGAAAGAGTCACATGAGGTGGGCTGGCGGAGACCGACAGCCTCACAATTGTCGGCCATGAATGTGATCACAACTTCCTCCAGTTCAGACTCATCTGCCGCCACAACCACCAGCTTATCCTCTTCCTGCTCCTCTTCTTCTTCATCATCAGTATCATCATCATCATCATCATCATCATCATCATCATCATCATCATCATCATCATCTTCGTCGTCTTTATCGTCCACCGAGTCCTTTTCTTCTTTCGCCTCCCCCTTGAGCAATGCTCCTGCGGCCAGCGTTTTTCCCGCCAGTCGTCTTCCGAGTCCCGCCATCGTCAGCGTCGGCTATTCCGCCAAGACGACACATTCAGCATCACTGCTGGATCATCACAAAAACGACCAGTATCCAGGCCTCATCTACCCTCTCGACGGGTATCCCAACCACCCGGTCAGACACCGAGGCCACGAGGAAGAGCTGCACCAATCGCCATCGCTTTCTCTGTCCATCGCCTTGACAACAACAGCCTCCCAGTCGACTTCGTCCTATCAACTCGACTATCCGGGTCCCCATCCCGTCTCTACCGACGCCTCCTGCCCCGACGAGACCGCCGACAAAGACACCAACAAAGTCTGCAAAAGCAGCGCTGACTGCAATCACGACGTTCTGGCCAATCGCCACTGCCTCGGCCACATACACCCTCTGGACCAAGCCTCGTGCCAGCGTTCCCAGTTCCACTCGGTACATCTGCAACATCAGCACCAACCGCAACATCAGCACAACCAACTGGCATTGCATCGGACGGTGCAAGCATCGCTGCTCTCCACTTACGCCCAGCCCCAACCACCTTCGTCGGCTGATCTCGAGCTCTCGGTCTCCTTCTCGCGAGCTCCTCCAGTCACGCCAGTCTCGGAGCTTCAACTCCTCCACCACACACCAACCGGCCACCAGATGCTGACCGCCCACTCGAACCACCAACTCGTTCCACACGGCCTTGACAACCCGACGCTTCAGTCGACCCTGACCAACACGATCTACCCCCAGAGTCAGCCGCATCAACATCAGCATCCGCATCAGCATCAGCATCAGCATCAGCATCAGCATCAGCATCAGCATCAGCATCACAACCACAGCCACACTCAAAACCAACAGCATCCGCTGGCCGACTTCACCTCCACAGCCTCGTCCACCTGCCGACCGATGTCTGAATATACCGCCGCGGCTGTGATTGCTGCAACTGCCGTTCAACACTGTCATGCGCAATACTTTGAGGACTTCTACACGAGAGCCAAAGTGGGCAAGGCGAAAGGTGAGTGAGCAGGCGAAAAAATGAAGTTACTCACTTTCGAGCTACCAATTTGGCAAGACGACGTGTGGCGACACTAAAGTCGGATTGGATTAGAACATAGAAGATCTGGTGTCATGTCGGTTGTGCACTTCTACTGATCGAGGTGTGTATGTGTGTGATTTATGTGTGTGTGTGTGTGTGTGTGTCGAGTAAAGCCTTTAATGAAGTCTAGAAATATGCTCACTATGTTAGGTCGTCATGTAATGTAGGAAAAGTCCTTCATAGCCTTAGGTGAGATAGGATGAATACAGCTCTTATACCCGATCGACTAGAAGTCTTGACAACCTACTTTTAAGAACGGACAATAAGTAGTGTGGTCGATTGCCACAAGAAATGCTACTTTGGTTCGACGATAATCCCACCACAAAAATGTAAGTAACTTTTGTCCTGTCACCAAATGGCACTCGTGGCTTAGCGCGTTGAGATTTTGCTTTTTCTACCATAAGTAGGGCTCGAGTCCCGCTAGGGTTGCTGATGAGAACGGTTTTCGGATGGGTCGAAACGGCCGTTCACTCCAGCCTGGAGATGAATACCTTTTGGGAAGCAAAGATATGTGAAGTTCAACGTAAACATGAGGCCTACTTAACGAATTGTGGGAAAATTCAATAAGCAGTATCCTTTATCGCCTCAGAAAAAATTGTATGAATTTACCTCTTATAATAGGTATAAGGAGGGAAGATATACAGACACACAAAGAGTTGTATCTATTTAAAGTGAGAAAGAATGAGCAAAAGATTCAACCCAAAGTGGTATGAAAGCATGAGTATATTCGCGTCTGTGGGCAATCATACAACCTTACAATCGCAACCGAAACCCCCAGTAGAAACTGCTGAAAAATTGGAATTCGTGAACTCCCTTATGATGTCTATGCTTATTGATGGCCGAGTTTGTGGGGCTCTGAAGACTCCGCCAATTAATTAGTATGATTCGACTGTGAATTTCGAAGGAAAGAAGGTTGGAAGGAATTAGTGAATTGGCGTTGCCTCAATCCGAAGGAGGGCTTTTGTAGGGAAGAGAACATTGGAATGTGCCAACAATTCCAGCGATTCAGATTGATCCGTGCTGAGCTTCCTTCCATACCGTCGTTACAGATGGCATCAAAGAGCAAAGCAACTCGTGGCACAAACCCTTTCAGAAAGGATACTCTTAAAAACCTACGTACAAACAAAAATCTGAACGTAAAACCGCCTAAAATTGATGTATGGATCCAAAAAACGAAACCATCTTAGCATAAATGAGGTGTACTGCAATGGTCTAAGTAGATTTCACACCAAAGGGTAAGAATAGGGAATCTATCGAATTTAATAGATCCGCCAACCTCCCGGATAGAATGGACAAATGTAGGAAATTGAATGTTGTTGGATACGCTTAGGGGAAGGAAAAGAGGAGGAGGAGTGGGCTGGAATAACCTCGAGCTTGGTTGTGGCTTTCACACCTCACATGACTCGAACATTGCATGCATACACTAACACACAATTCTACATGCCTAAACATGTGTCAACATTAGAGGATTGTAGGGTGGTTTACTTTTGTCAGGAAATGGCTACAATCACATCTATTGCTTCTTCCATTTGAAACCATGTAGGCTTAACACATAGTAGCCTACCAAAGCATGAGATGCTTTATATTAATTTTTTTTTTAAAGTACATAAAAATGGTTGTGATTTGTCATAAACAATGATTTCTTGCTCTGACGATGTCTGTCACGGCAGGACAGACAAAAGATCAGCACAGGTTTAACGGAATGACAAGACGAGCCGAGTACTTCTTCGCACAATCCAACAACCTTGCCTCCGGTGAGGCCGATGTATGAATTCCGTTCAACCGACTTGTTCGAGTCGAGCTTCGTGTGAAAACTTTGCTGGAAGGGAGTTTGCATGCCACCATTTTGAATGAGTCTTGG